TAAACAGTATTAAATAACATTTACCGGCTTGAATGTCCGAGAAATTTTCATAGAAAATATTCGTCCTTTGAGAGGATTCGAAGCTGCATCCTATATTATACAATATTATGAGCAGTTATGGATGTACGTGAGAGATTCATGTAAGATTGAAGTTTATAAGCAGTAAATTTGACCTTGCCAACCGAACAATTCTTTGTGGCCGAGCGGTTACGCACGTCAAGCTAATGACGGTTCCGGACATTCAGGCCGGTAAATGTTATTTAATACTGTTGATTATAAACAGAGCATTTTGTAAAATACTTGTATCTATAAAAATAATGTTAAACATAAAAATGTCTTTAAATAATTGTCGGACTTTGTCCATTTTATAATATATATATTATTACGGCAGTTTTTTTTTTATATGCACAAATCCCTTACATAAAAAAATAAAATAAAAAAATAAATAAATAAATAAATCTCCATAGGCACGCATACCAGACTAGGGTTAATACATCTTCCGTTTAAAATTTAGACACTCCCTTGAAATCTATGAAAGTAACTCTATACTGATACTTATTATTAACACCTAACACACGCCTACCCAATTTAGACAATTCGCCCTGGCTGTTACCATGGAAATTTTGATTTCAATATTTAAAACACGTAAATTTCAGAAATACGTTATTCAAAAAAAAAAAAAATTTCGCTTGAAGATGGAACAGAGCTTACTTTAACTCAATTTAATTCAAATAATTATATTGAAGTTTTTGGCTCTTGTTTTGAAACATGATACCTCTTATGTCGCGAGTTGGAATCATATTTTTAAATAAATGATTATATTTATGCGCTACTTTTGTATTGAGCACTATTTTTAAAAATAATAACTAAAATACTAAGGAACTTTGGATTATTTACCTAACCAGTTCCTTCCTATTTTCTATATATATATATATATATATATATATATATATATATATATATATATATAAATTTCTATTCGGTTGTATAGATATGAATGTGTAACGCTGGGTTTCACGCTTTTGCGATCATCAGACACACTTTTGGCTGATGATCACACACATATATATATATATATATATATATATATATATATATATATATCGTATATATATATTTTTCCGATTTTACTGAAAACTATCGATCCATTTCATCAGTCTATCGATCTTACGAATTGTACTTGAGACTAATTGCACTTTCTTAATTAGAGTTAGGCTAACAGGAAACTGTAAACAAGTATTGAGTGGCACAGATGTGCAGGACAATTATTGCTGGTATAATTAGACGCAGATAATTACAGGTGACGGGATTCTAAACAGTAATCTACGAGAGACAAAAAGGGAAGAAATGAAAGTGATTACGCCGTAAAGATTAAACGCCTGAATTTCTGTCTCGCGATAATGAATTCCAGAAAATAATGGCACATTTAACAGTCATATCGCAGAAGCAGATATGACAAAACTAAGAACACATTCAAATGCATTTCTCTAAGTTGATTAAACACACTCTCTACTCACACGCACATCCTGATATTGGGCACGCTACAAATAAATAGGTAAAATTTAAACACTAATAAATATAATTAAAAATAAAGAAAAAAAATAATTAAGATGCTGTAACATGGTCTACTTATTGTGCCGTTCATTCTGTAAAAAGCCCAAGAGCCACTCGAGGTAGATTTGATTTTTATTTTGGTAGGGGTGTGTTTTACGGCATATCAACTTCAAGCAGTTATTGAATGCCAACAAGATTTTTAGGATAGGTTCGTATGAATAGAATATGTATTCTTTGGTTTAGTTTGGTTTGGTTTATTTTGTTTTACGGCATATCAACCTCAATGGGTTATTTAATGCCGACAACATTTTTAGGATAGATTCTTAGAAATAGAATATGTATTCTTTGATTTAGTTTCATTTCGTTTATTTTGTTTTACGGCATATCAATCTAAATTGGTTATTTAATGCCGACAAAATTTTTAACATAGGTTCGTATGAATAGAATATGTATTCATTGGTTTAGTTTGGTTTCGTTTATTTTGTGTTACGGTATATCAACCTCAATGGGTTATTTAATGCCGACAAGATTTTTAGAATAGGTTCGTATAAATAGAATTTGTATTCTTTAGTTTAGATTGGTTTGGTTTATTTTGTTTCACGGCATATCAATCTCAATGCTGACAACATTTTTAGGATAGATATGTATTCTTTGGTTTAGTTTGGTTTCGTTTATACATATGAATATAGATCAGGTTTCACTGATGTATTATTGTAAAGATATTTTTTGTCGAGAGTCAAATGTATTGGTGGTAATATTTTATTTTAATGTATTGCTTGTAATTATACTATAAAAATCTATTTTTATACTTTCAAATGTGTTTTGACCCCAGTTTAGCTGAGAGCCTAACGGAGGCTATCCCCAGGGTGAAGGTGGACTCGGAAACGACAGCAATTAAGACGTGGTTCTACGCTCCTCAAAACCTACCTGCCGGATGAAGTTTATCGTCATACCCAGGACGGCATTGTTTCGGTACTAATTTATTAAATATTTGATTTTTCAAAAATGTATTGCTGGTATTTTTACGAAAAATATGCTTTTATACTTTCTATGTTTTTGACCTCAGTTTGGCGGTAAACTATTTGTCTATAGTGTTAGTGGATTACAGAGTAAGATCGATTGGTTCGTTTTCAATTGTAAGAGTTTCCTGGAAATATTAATGGTTCTAGTGATACAAGTCTTACCACTTAACCTATAGATGGGGAAGAAGATATCATTCACCAATGATATTTGCATCTAAGTGAATTGGAACTCATGTTGCAGACCCAATAGCGTGCAGTGCTGGTTTAATAGAAAGGTTGCCTTGTGCCAGACACTACACAAAACTACCGAGTCCACAAACAATGTATAAGAAAATGCGTGAGTGAACATAGAGAGGAAAGGGGTCATTCAACAAGTGCATAAATTATAAATATCAAAAAGATAGCTTGAATAGAATGACAAAGGCGTCTGGATGCAAAACATGTGTAATTTTTATTAAACTAAAAACAAGTAGATTATCTCGTTATGCGAGATCAGAGAAAATGTTCCGCGCCAAAACAGGAAAGCAAAATGGACAAGGCGGGAAAAAGGTTTTTATAAGGTTCTGGAAAAGGACTCGTTAACACGAGGTGTAGGTGTGCACAGATAAAAAGGAGTACTCACTGTGGATTTTGGCATTGTGAGTGTATGTGAATTTTTTGGTTCAGGTTCAAAGTAGTTAGAAAGTTCAGTCGTCTCAGAGTTTTTTGGTCGGGCATTGAATTAACTGCTGAAAATTTTATCGGATTGATGTGGACGTCTAGCCAAAAGGACGAAGAGTTATTTGTAGTGAGTTGCATCGTCTTGGTGAAATTACTTATGACGAGTCAAGAGAGACGAAGAATATTTATTCGTCAATAAGATATCCCTGTCTGTATTATGGTTAACTGACGAGGGATAAAAATAAGTCACTTGTTGATACGAAGTTCTGCCTACGACTGTGTCGTGTATCTCCACGTTTTCTAGCCGAAAACGGAGGTCATAAGATATCCCTGTCTGTATTATAGTTGACTGACGAGGGATAAAAATAAGTCAGTTGTTGATACGAAATTCTGCCCACGACTGTGTCGTGTATCTCGGACGTTTTCTAGCCGAAAACGGAGAAGGTCTGACCTGCGAGTAGCATCAAAACGAGAAGAAGTCTTGGGAAAGTGTGAGGTCGACATGTTGAAATAAGATATCCCGGCCCGCATATGGGTTAAGGGCACGGAATAAATGAGTTGCCCGTCTAGTCAGGTTGAAGATCGGGAAGCAACTGGCTTGCAAACGCTGTTCATTTGAGACGCCAGGAAACGCGCGGGAAAAAATTCAAAATCTGTTAGGCTGACTTTATCAGCAGGAGCTAGTAAGCGATCTTCCTTCCTCCAGATTACTGCTACGTCTAGCTGTGAGAGAGAGGAAGGGGTGCGAACCGCGCGCACACACGCACGAGTGTGGAAGAAAGGGAGGAAAACTCGGGCGCGCTTAAAATGTAGATGGAATTAGTGTGTTAATTCCATACTCCGCTCTCCGATTAACAATTCCGAGCCATTAAGTATTGCACCACCCGCACATTCAAGCTTAGAGCATTTGGTATTTCCAAGCGGTCACCTACCTAGGTACTGATCAGGTATAATGTTGCTTAACCTCGGTTGTCATACGGGAACTGGTGTTTCAACGTGATGAGGCCGTAAGCTAACAAGTAAGAATTAAGTGGCAGAGTTTATGTGAATACGTGGGGAAGATAATGGGTACCCCTTAGACGTGAACAGATTAAAATTGATAGGGGAAGCATCCTCTTGGTAGTCGGCTACACAAAGTGAGAAGAAACTTCTCGAGTGGCATTTACAGCTCAGCGGGTCTTAGCCGTGAAGGTGTGAACTGGTGGAGCTAAGAATTGTACTTCGTCTGGACACTATAGATACATCTATAGATAGATATGAAGATATGAAGATGTTGAGATAGATAGATAGATAGATAGATAGATAGATAGATAGATAGATAGATATGAAGATATGAAGATGTTGAGATAGATAGATAGATAGATAGATAGATAGATAGATAGATAGGGATGTTGAGATAGATATGCGTATGGAGATAGATATACATGTACATGTGACGATAGATATGAACAAGTTTAGATAGATAGATAGATAGATAGATAGATAGATAGATAGATAGATACAGGCATGTTGACATAGATATGCACGTATGGAGATAGATATATACATGAACTTGCGACGATAGATATGGACATGTTTAGATAGATAGATAGATAGATAGATAGATAGATAGATAGATAGATAGATATGGACGTGTTGAGATAGATATGCACATATGGAGATAGATATACATGAACATGTGACGATAGATATGAACAAGTTTACATAGATAGATAGATAGATATGAAGATGTTTAGATAGATAGATAGATAGTTATGAAGATGTTTAGATAGATAGATAGATAGATAGATAGATAGATAGATATTGACATGTTGAGATAGATATGCACGTATGGAGATAGATATACATGAACTTGCGACGATAGATATGGACATATTTAGATAGATAGATAGATAGATAGATAGATAGATATGTACATGTTGAGATAGACAGATATGTACATGTTGAGATAGACATACATGAACATGTGGCGATAGATATGAACATGTTAAGATAGATAGATAGATAGATAGATAGATAGATAGATAGATAGATATATATATATTTTTTATAATGATATTCACCCTGAAAACGTTCAAGAGCCAGAGTTTATATCGGTATGCGGTGAAGATAATGGTTCATCCTAGACTGGAACAGAGCAACGGTTTGGGGGAAGAAACTGTTCGAGTGGAACTTACATCTCACCAATGGATTACGCAGGGGATGGAGGTGGCTCGTTACAATGTGCCGGTCTTCGCCGTGAAGTTTAGAACGATTCTGGCCTCTTATCGAGACAGGAAATTGAAAATTAGGCTTCACCTCCTCATATATATTTCTTTATATTTCTGCGATTAAGTATTGTATTTACAGAGATCGAACTGTTGTTCTCATCTATATTGCTATATTCATAACGTTTCGGCCGTTGTACGTTCCGGCCTTCTTCAGGTGATATTAGGAGATTAGGTTTCTCCTTCACATATATATTTCTCTATATTTCTGCGATTAGGAATTGTTTTTACATCGATAGCACCGTTGTTCTCATCTTTATTGCCCTATTCATAACGTTTCGGCCGTTGTACTCTCAGCCTTCTTCAGGTGATATTAGGAGATTAGCCTTCTCCTTCTTATATATATTTCTCTATATTTCTGCGATTAGGTATTGTATTTACTTCGATCGCACTGTTGTTCTCATCTTTATTGCCATATTCATAACGTTTCGGCCGTTGTACGCTCCGGCCTTGTACAGTAGATATTAGTTCCAATTGCGAATGGGCCAGTGGATAAAAGCGTTTGTTGAGGGACCCTAAAAGAGTCTCGATCCAAAGAGTTGTAAGTTCAATTCCTAGCCAGAGCAGAGGAAACAAAGACCTGGAGAGTTGAGTTACCAAGAGGAATGAACTTAAACTGAGATATCCAAACGCTTGACGCGTGGAAATAGAACAATATACCTCCGGGGACTTAATAAAGGCCTCGGTTCGAAATTGAAACTAATATCAACTGAAAAAGGCCAGAGAGTACAACGAGCAAAACATCGTGAAAATGAAAATAAAGATGAGGACAACAGTTCGATGAATGTAAATACAATACCTCAGTTCAGAAATACAAACAAAATAGTTCAAATACAGAGATGAAGGTTATGAACAGAAAGGAAATTCGCTATACTGTAATTAAGACATCAGCCTGATGTTTTCGCTTACGCATGAAAATTGTAATAAGTTAATTATTATTCATATTCATTAAGAAATTTGTTAAATGAAAAACCTTAATATTTTTTAAAAAATATATAAAATAAATGAATAAATTTCTCAAACTATAATAATGTAAATAAAAAGAAAATTATAAAAGAAAATTCAGCAACAGGAATATTTATTGACTTTTGTTTGTGGAAGATTTTCTTAGGAAAATAAAAGAAGGATTTAAACAAACATACCAGATACTGATCCTGTATGTTTCGGTGCAATGTCCTGTGGGTTTATGAGAATGCCACTGCCATGGAAACGGCAGCTAGCAACAGCACAAATCAGACAAAATAGGGATGCTTCATAACTGGTTGTATAACTAAGCAGCATGAGGAATAATGCATTACCACATAAAGCTCTCGTCTGAAAGAAGAAAAAGAAATCAAATGCAGGAATATCATTGAAAAGTAAGCAATTTCAAATTCAACATTTGACCAAAGAAAATAACTTACTTCCATAAAGTTTCTTACAAATGTAACTGTATCAAAACAGTAGAAGAAAATGATTAAGAAATTGTTCATAAGTTTCAATGTAGATTTAAAAACCCTTAAATTTTGAACTGACTGAGACACAAATATTTCAATGAATGACAAGAGTTACAGGAAAAGAAACATTCTATATTACAGTTACAGTTAATTTAAAATATTTTCATTTTAGTTGTTCTGATAAACTTTCCTCTATGGTACTTTTTTTAATGAATTTAAGCTTAGTACTAGATTGGTGGCATGGTCTCATTATCTTACATTTAAAATGGCCAGATATAGCCATGATTCCTATGCTAACCGTTTCTTTTATTACACTTCTCACTTGTGAAACGTTCTTCTGGCTTTTTGTTTCCGAGTCTACTTTGATCTTCAAAAATCAATTGTTATCTTCTGTCTTATTAATTTCTGTTCTTTTATTGTTCTGTCACTAAATCTTGTTTTTTTTCCTCATATTCTCTAACATTCGGTAAGTGCTTGCATCTTAGTGGCTTTATTGCCTTGCTTTGGCGGAAATGATTAGCATTCTCCATAAATTCTTAAATTTAAAGATTCTGTATAACTAACCACATTTCAGTTCTCTTTAATAATACCTATTACAAAATAAAATCGTTACATTTGTGTTGATAAACTTTATCAGTGGGCGAATTTACACACACGCGCACGCACGCACACACACACACACACACACACATATATATATATATATATATGTATATGAATTTTAAAGCAAGGGTGATTGAACAGGTGAGATGTCATGCAGTCATAGAAGGCTGATCAGAAGAAGCATTTGCAAATGTAATGAAATCAGTCTTGCTCTTGGATGGTTGTCGCGTAAATGGAGATGCGTAATAGTTATTGTCACAGGCTCTTAGAGGCGGTACGTGCCCCTAATATTAAGCAAGGAATGGAGTCGAAAAAGAGAAATACAGGGAAGGGGGAAGCGAGAAAATAGTAAATACTTGGAAAGAGAGATGAAAACGAAAAGAAACATTTGATAATTAATAAACTGAGATAGATAGATAGATCGATAGATAGATAGATAGACAAAGACGGATAGATAGATAAACACATATAGATAAAGATAGGTAGACAGACCTAGATAGATTGTTAGATAGACGAAGAGAGACAGACGAAGACAGAGAGACAGATAGACCAAAACAGATAGACCAAGATAGATAGACAGACAGACCAACACAGATTGACAGAGATAGACAGACAAAAATAGATAGACAGACAAAAATAGATAGACATACCCAGAGAGACAGACAGACAGACAGACAGACCGAAATATAATAACAGACAGAACAAAATCAATAGACAGATCAAGATTGATAGATAGACAGACAGACCAAGATTGATAGACGGGCAAAGATATATAGACAATCCAAGAGACAGATAGACTAATATAGATAAACAAACTGATAGACCTAGATAGATACACTGACAGACCAAGATAGATAGACAGGCAAAGATAGATGGATAAACTGACAGATAGATTAATATAGATAGACAAACTGATAGACCTAGATAGATACACATGACAGACCAAGATAGATAGACAGAAGAGATAGATGGATAAACTGACAGATAGACAATACAGATAGACAAACTGATAGACCTAGATAGATACACTGACAGACCAAGATAGATAGACAGGCAAAGATAGATGGATAAACTGACAGATAGACTAATACAGATAGACAAACTGATAGACCTAGATAGATACACTGACAGACCAAGATAGATAGACAGGCAAAGATAGATGGATAAACAGACAGATAGATTCAATACAGATAGACAAACTGATAGACCTAGATAGATACAGGACAACCAAGATAGATAGAGACCAAGATAAGATAGATGGATAAACTGACACAGATAGACTAATACAGATAGACAAACTGATAGACCTAGATAGATACACTGACAGACCAAGATAGATAGACAGGCAAAGATAGATGGATAAACTGACAGATAGACTAATACAGATAGACAAACTGATAGACCTAGATAGATACACTGACAGACCAAGATAGATAGACAGGCAAAGATAGATGGATAAACAGACAGATAGACTAATACAGATAGACAAACTGATAGACCTAGATAGATACACTGACAGACCAAGATAGATAGACAGGCAAAGATAGATGGATAAACAGACAGATAGACTAATACAGATAGACAAACTGATAGACCTAGATAGATACACTGACAGACCAAGATAGATAGCCAGGCAAAGATAGATGGATAAACTGAGAGATAGACTAATACAGATAGACAAACTGATAGACCTAGATAGATACACTGACAGACCTAGATAGATAGCCAGGCAAAGATAGATGGATAAACAGACAGATAGACTAATATAGATAAACAAACTGATAGACCTAGATAGATACACTGACAGACCAAGATAGATAGACAGGCAAAGATAGATGGATAAACAGACAGAGAGACTAATACAGATAGACAAACTGATAGACCTAGATAGATACACTGACAGACCAAGATAAACAGACTTAGATAGATAGACCAAAATGTAGAGATAGACTAATATAGATAGACAGACAGATAGGCAAATTAAGGTAGATATTTAGAGATAGATATAAACAGATGTAAATAGAGGTACATCAGTAACATGAGTAAGACTCATTTGGGCCTTAACATGCAAAAAGATCATATAATATAAAGCAATGAAGTTTTTGAAGTAAAGAAAGACGTTACACTCAGTCAGTAGTCCCACATTCTGACAAAAAAAAAAACAGCATGTAGAAAAATAACCAGTCAACATGATTAGATGCTGTTAAGACGAAAGTGTAATATTAGAGTTTTCCTCCTAGTTGGAGACCTTATCGAAGTTTTTAGGGATCCAAATCGCTTACCACGGCTTGGACACCAAGCCATGTATTCCTATATCCTCGCTCCATTGATTGTTTGAAATGATTCAACCACATTTTGGTCTTTGTTTTTGTTGAAACTTGACTAATGCATGGAATAATAATGCAACACAAAATGTACTTAGAACAAAATGTATTGAAACAAGAAAGTGTACACAATATTTACATATAGTCTTTTGTATATTCCTGGTAAGACCGTTCCTGGAGAATGTGTTGACTGAGTCGTAGTCGGGCAGAGTCTCTGGTTGAATCTCTTGATTCCCCCCTATCTATCCACCCAACCATATTTATATGGTCGGTACAAGGCAGGTTTAAAATTAGGTCCGATCCTACCACAACAGTTTTAAATCTTGCTTGTTGTCTAGTCGTCATCCTAAACATCCTTATATTATAATGGCTAAAAAAAGGATAATAATGACACTTTGAGAAAATCACGATTTAACAAAAGAAAAGACACAGTATTTATCAATATTTCAACACTTCACTTGAAATCATATTTAAAAATTCCCGGTAAAAACCAAAAAAAACATTATGGTTCCGTCATTTCTTTTGGAAAATTTCAAGAGTGGATCCTACCACAACACTTACGTTTCTTGATGTTTATAGGTATTTTAGTTCCATTCCAAAATTTGAAAGGGCGAATTTTTGGCGCATTGATTGCGCCAACAATCATCTGGACTTTTTTTATCAATGCAAGCAATTCTTGCGTTGCAGCTCAGACCAGACACCAGGTTTGTTGACAGGGTATAGTTTCGTCCAGTCAAACGGTTGTTGTTTAAAAAAGCCCCTTCGTGGCAGAAACAAAAATTTTTTCTAGACGTAACAACAGTTTTATTCTTGGATACGTGTTGAGATATTGGGAGTTTCCGCGTGTGTGTATTCAAATAAAGACAAACACAGATGTAGGGAAAAATAAAAATATTTGAAGGGAGTCATTTAACAACAGTGTTGGACTAGTAATAACATGACGCCGGAAGACGAATGGCATGAAAGGGTTTAAAGTCCAATGTGCTACCGGTAGAGAGGTCTTAGTGTATGAACATTAGATCTCCAGATCTTATCTGAACTAAGAAATCCTAGTTCAGCTAGCACTTTCCTATAAAATAGCGGGATCAGTCCAAAGTTCTTATGTTCAGAAGGTGAGAATGGCCCCAACAGGAAAAAAGAAAGAAAAAGTTAATACAAAGCGAAGGAAAGAAAAATAATAATAATGAAAATGGTGGTGCACAATTCGTTACGTGTTTGGACTCAGTCAAGTCTATAAAGCGAAGACCGTGTATCCCTCCTATCAATTTTTCGGCGGAAGATCAAGTTTTATAGAAAACGAAATCTTTGTCTTGTCATCTCGTTTCGTCAAAAACGACGTTGTCTTTCTAAATTAATGTTTATATTGACCTCATAGACGCCGGTAAATTTTTTTCACTTATGTTTTAAGCATCCCTAGATGATTTAATTTAATTTAATTTTTTTCTTCTTTCCATTGCTTTTGTTATCAAATATCCCCTCATGCATTCTTCTTCCTATGCCGTTTTTAAAAGACATATGTTTTATTTTATAACTATTTATATATTAATCGTATATATATAAGACAGATATACTGACGAAATATTGTTAAAACATTGGATACTTTTCTTTTAGTAAACAAACAAGGATCCTGAGGAAAAAAGGAATAAAATAAGTCAATCATTTTTGTCAAACCATTATTAACAATTATCCAGATTATTATTATTATTAAGTCCAAAGTAAAAAAACCCTCCAAAACGAGTAAAGAGAAACTATTAGAAAAATGACTCAATACACGCCAAGCAGAGGAGATAAACCTCACAATTCATAAAAACCTAAGAAGGTTTTATTAAATGGATCGTCATGAATTTCCGAAAAGAAAAATAATGGAACAGCTCGAATGAAAAAGACAACATGAAAACGTAACAAAAAAAAAAAACAAAAACAAAAAAAAACAAAAAAAAAAACAAACACAATAAAAACTCAAAAAAAAACAGTATCTCATTTTTTTTTTTTTTTTTTTTTTTTTTTTGTCCAGTGAAAAGTTATATTAAGAACTACCAAAGTCCAAATAGAAATGATCTTATTTTATATGAGAGGAATGTACACATTAAATTCATGTCCTCATGGTATACAGGCTGCGATAGATAAGTTGTCTATATATATAAAATAAAAATAAATATATATATATTTATATAAATATATATATATCCTCTACGCTACTGTAAAGGGTACTGGATAAATTGTCCGAACCCAAAATGAAAAATTATAAAAAAGATCTATTAATTTTAACAATATTTGAAAAATCTGAATGAATAGAACTAAGATAGATAGATAGATAAATTTATTTATATAAAATTAACATTAATTAATTAATTATTAATTATTATTAATTAATTAAAAAAATTAAACAGTCATTTAAATCCATAGATTAAATACGGATATCTAAAAAGTCCTGCATCTAATAATGGACTTCCGATGAGTTTTTTTTGGTTGGTGAATGGCTGTCGATTTATCCTTCAGTTCATCTTTCAAATGACATCCTAATCACAGAAGACATGTCTACTTTGTTCAACTGCAAATTAAGAAAAAATCAAAATGAACAAATTTTGAGTTTGTCATAATACAACAACTTGAAAAAATGAATATTCTGACAAAACGCACTATAATGGCTTTATGTATGAATGGTTTGAGTGTATATATATATATATAAAAATTAAATTCATTTTTAGCAGCTATTTTTTGAAACATGGTTGGAACTGTGTATCCCCCACCATATTTTAATCAATTAATTTATAATATTAATGTTCTGTAAATTTACATTGACAAACTATTTTGTAAAAATAAAAAATTTCTATAAGAACACCGATTTTATATCTTACTGTTTTTCGTTTTTCATTTATATACATTATATATATATATATATATATATATATATATATATATATATATATCCTCAGTTATTGACATCCAAAGAATATATGAATGTTCGTATTGAACACTTTCCACTATTAATACTCAAGCAATATATACATATATATCATCATCATCATCATCATCTTCTTCTTCTTGCGGCCTCAGCCGAGACGAACCGACCAAACTTTGAATGGTGTAGTTCATAATCTTGTCAAATAACTGAATTCTTAATGCTTCGCCATGTTCTTATCAAAGCCTGTTTTCATCTTGACACCAAGACTAAATCGGATTGCCAACCAAGGCTCAAATCTCCATTCACCCTCCTCTAAGATCACTTTTTAATTCAGAGTTTTCCTTCTCCTAGACCAATTGCCATAAAAACTAAGAACCCAATCCAGTTTTTTTTTTGTTTTTTATAGCTGGAGGGAGAAAAAGATGACCACCTTTTCCAAAGGGTGTTAGCACGTAAAAGAATTTCTTGGATTATCGGCGATTCGAACTCGATGTCTACTTTTTCAATCCTGTTTCTATATATATATATATATATATATATATATATATATATATATATATATTATATATATATATATATATATATATATTATAATTTGCGTTTTAAAAACGATTTTATTAACATCTGGGAACAAAATGTCTTGCAAAACCTTTAAAATGTTTTTATTATGATCTCTTATAATGAAACCATTTAAAATGTTTTTATTGATAATTTATTATATTAAAAATATTATTATACTATTTTGCTCTACTTTGTATTGAGTACTTTTTCAAAAGTTAATTCTACCAAAATATTTTACTCCCTTTTTCGAATCTCACCATGGTAGATTTGTCAAGAAGGAGACTTCCTGATGTTATCGGAAAGGAATGATCAATCCCAAGCGTGCGGCACATTTGGAAATCGCCTGAAAACCATACCCTCCAGGTTGAGACTTGGCCTTGTAGTTGAAATTAGGCAACGGAACCCTTGTTCATCGTAGATAGCTAGGCCTAGCAAAGTCATCCGCATCTCGTGACCGAATCTTGAACGTGCTGACCTTGTTCAAATTGTTGATCACTCTAAATAACTTGCTCTTTCCCAGAAAGTGTAATTAAGTTTTGCTCAGCATAGTTGCAATATAAACCACAGGTGGGCTCTGTCGGTGTTGAATAAACTGAGCAAGACTATCATTGCAAGGCCCTAGTGAAAGGCGGACTCGAATATGAAACGGCAGCTCATCAACCAGATAAAAAGAATATAAATCACAGAAATAGCAAGGATTGTGAAAATTTTATTTACCAAATATCATCCCCAAGAAGGGGGTTTTTTTTTATCGCTCTGTCTCTTTGGAGCTCAATCCACAAAACATAAATACGTGACTAAAATGATGAATGATGAAGATAATCAATGAATATAAATCACAGAATAGCAAACAAATTTATCTAAAGTGTTGAATCAATGAAAAAAAACAAATATAATTGATTAAAAATATTCGCTCTTCATAAAAAACAATCGCCATACAAAACATAAATACGTGCTCAATGATAAAATAATCAGTTTAAAATAAATCACATAGATATCCATCAAATTCTTTCAGTTTATGAGAGGTCTGTTACAAATTCAATGACGGTCAAATTTCGATATAGAATCCAAAGTTGGCAGTGAATATTTCGGAACACAAACGCCATTTGCTATTCAAGGAATGCAATCTCGTTAAAACCTTGTAATTTAAAAACCTTAAAGTGTGTTCCCCTTCAGATTGGATAAATTTGGGAACATTAATGATTTTTTCTTAGTAACGGTCCTGGATTTTGATTACATTATAAGTCAATTTAATGCCTATTTCCCCTAAAATCATTGGGGCCTTTTTGCAATGTCCGGTTTGTTTGGATTCCTTTGGGGATATCACAGATACAATAATAGGTTAACGTTGGTTTCAATTGTATATATATATATATATATATATATATATTTTTCAAACTAGGTCTGCGTTTCCGTCTTTTCGCAAGGATGTATTGCCCTACATCAAATTGAGTAATTTAGTATATGAATTTAATTGCCAGTGTGCTGCTGGTTATGTGGGGCGTACAACCTTGCATTTGGAAACTAAATTAATCAGCACGTTCCTTCAAAATACGACTTGGTAAGATAGATAGAATATGCTATCTTCCCCCATGAATATGGAATCGGCTATTGCTCAACATTTAGTTGAGAATATAGCTTGTGCCAAGTTGTATAAAAAAGAGTGGTTTAGAATTATTCATACAGCCGATTCCAATAATCATTTGAAGATTTTGGAATCGGTCTGTATAGGATTTAGAAAACCTTCTCTCTGCCGGCAGAAAAAATTTATAAAGGTCTCTGAATCTGTTGGGGGATATTTTATTTTAACTGTCCCTCGCTATTTATTTACACGATAACCCTTCCCTCGTTACAAGTATATATACTTGTTCGTTATTTTAGTGTGTTTCCCCTCTTTTTTTGCTCTTCAATATCGCTATTATTCATTTCGCTAATCCAACGATTGTCTCCTGATGAGATGTTGGCTGAAAGGGCTCTAGAGACTTTTAATATTAAAATCAATGGTTTCCTAGTTTTTAAAACTATTATATATATATATATATATATATATATATATATATATATATATATATATATATATACATGCGACCTCATCTTGCAATACCTAGATCACGTAACGGATAAAGGAAAATTATATATATATATATATATATTTGTATCAATGTTTTTGTTTGCATGTA